GACACAAACCCCGGGGCAGGAGCAGCTGGTGGCTGCTCAAGGGAAGCTCTGTGTGTGCAGCCACAGCCACTGCCCTGCCAGCACTGCCCGGGTCCCAGCCAGGGCTCCCGGCAGCCTCAGGGTAGGACTGAGCCCTGTGCAGAGCTAGAAAGGGGCAGAACTGCCTTTGTTTATGGAATTATGGAATATCCTCAGTTGGGAGGGTCATTGAGTTCCCACAGCACAGCTCCATCAGTCCCACCCTGTACATCCCTGAGAGCAGTGTCCAAACGCTCCTGGAGCTCTGGCAGCCTTGTGGCCCTGACAATTCCCTGGGGAGCCTGGGCAGTGCCCCAGAACCATCCTTTCCTATATCCAACCTAAATCTCCACTAGCACAGCTCCAGCCATTTCTGCACCTCCTCTCCCTGGTCATCAAAGAGCAGAGAGATTGGTGCTGCCCCTCAGGAGGAAGTTGTAGACTATATTTAACTCTGGACTGGATTTCACCTGCCTCTCTCCGGTGTTTGGGGCTTCCCAGCGCTGGGAGACCCTGCAGGCAGCTGCTTCCTGTGGTTCCTCTGTGGTGCTATCCCTAGGAACCTGTGTGGTGAGAGTTAACCACCTTGGCCTAATGGTTCCCTCATAAATAAGGAATGTTAATAAATACTTTCTATTCCTTAAGGCCCAGCAGATAGGAGGAGAATATTCAAGGAAGCTATTTCCACTTTCTGTAACTTGCATTAGTCATCTCTCCTGAGACAGAGGGGAAGGCATGGCTGGGGGTGGGCAGCAGAAATGCTGCTGTGCTCTACACCTCTCTTTCTGTCCAGCACCTCCTGGAGACCCCCAGCTTCTCCTTTCCAACATAAGTTTCTCTAAAACAAAGGGGCATAAGGTTTATCTGGGAATCAGTTCCCTCTTGGGGCTCCCAATCCTGCACGTCCTGTGTCAGTCCCACAGGTACTCCCCATTTCAAAGGAAGTGAGGGTGGTGGTGTCACAGGTGTTCAGCAGGTGGCAGAGGGGAGTTTCACCATCTGAAGTGACACCTTTTCCCAATCCTAGCCCTGTCCGTGTTCACTCCCCTCCAAAGAGCCCATGGGATGTGGCACCTTGCAGAGAGCTTGGAATACAGGCCCTGTGGCCACTGACCCTGCAGGTAAGAAACAGGTCTGCAAACTGAGCCAGGAGTTACCTGCCAGACCTGCCCAGCTCAGCTGGCAGAAATGCCTCTCCTGCCCGCAGGGATGAGTCTCCCTGGCAGCTCAGCAGAGATCAGGTTTGCAGAAAGCAGCTCTCCCAAAAAAAAACCCAGCCCCTGCTGAGAACTAACAGGATGTGATGGGAGGCAGTGAGGAGGAGGCTGGAGCAGGCAGCCAAGCACCCTTCCCACTCAGTCTGGAGAGCAGATGGAGCAAACTAAGAGCTCTCTACCTCAGTCAACCTCCTCTTCCAGGCTGAGCTGGCTCCTCGCGTGCTGGCTGGCTCCCACAAGGATTCCTAAGACTTGCAAAGAGATTTCAGTGGCCTTTGGCTGGAGGCAGAGGTAGTCACACCCTCCTCCAGATGGATATCAGGCTGCAGGGACCATGGCTCTGCTCTGCTGGGTCTTGCCTGGTGGATCTCAGTGGGCTGGGAAGGCAGCAGTGCAGGTGATGCAGGATTTACTGGCGAGGATCTTACACTGCAGGGAATGCTCAGTGCTGGCAGCCTCCCAGAGAAGCCCCTTGAAAACATTCCCACCTTGGGGCACTGGTTGTAAGCACAGAGCCGGGAGCTACAAGGCAGCTCCAGGATACAACGTGCAGCAAACAGGGAGGGAAGGGGAGGGATGTTCCTCTGGCAAGTGTGTCAGTGCAGGGCTGGAGCTGACTGCTCACATGCTCACAGGCACTCCCTGGCCCTGATCACTGTTAGAGATCTTCACTCTCTGGGGCTTCTCTTTATGCAGGACACAGGCACGAAGCAGGCACAGGCTACCAGGGCTGGGGCTCTGTGCCAGCCATCTCCTTTGCCAGGCTGATGTGACCCCAGGCAGTGCTGCAGCAGGAGTCCTGCCTGCCCCTGTTTTGCCTGGCTCTGGGCTGCCTGCAGGAAGCAGGGGAGCACAGTCTCCTCCACCCCTGCTCTGTGCAGCACTGCCACAAAGCCCAGGGGCTTCATATCTGGGCCGTGCTACATTTAGCATCTGTGGGGCCTCGCTGGGCTCCCGAGGGCCATTCTGTCCCTCCAATCAAGGGCACAGCTCTTCTGCAGCCTCCCTTCCTCGTCCCTCAAAGATGGGGTGGGAAGGGCCTGGGTTTAGCTACGTGCAGTGAGGAGAAAACCCTTTGCAGCCCTACTGTCTCTGGGGCAGGGGCTGAGCCATGAGATGCAGGTGAGCATCAGTCCCTCCTTGGGCTGTGATCTCTGCAGCTCCACCACCAGTTCCCAGATGCCCTCCCTTACCTCCTCCATGTTGCAACTCCCCAGCTCTAACAGCCTTGGAGAGGGTGTCAGGGGTCTCTCCACAGCACGGCTGCCCCCAGGTCCTGTTGTCCATGTCCTTACATCACCTCTCCCCTGCAACTGGCAGTGTGGGAGCAAATGGTTGCTGTGTGGGCATTGTTTTGAGCAGGACCTGGGGTGTGCTGCTGTGCTGTGATTCATGAGCAGGAGGAAAAGGGAGAGACTCTCCAACTCCTGTGTTTGGGATAGGCTGAGGGCAGGGCAGAGATGTTCCTCTTGGGAAGGATGTGCATCCACCTTTCTCCTAGAAGGGTGTCTCCTGCAGCAGGATGTCCTTGGGCAAGGCCAGGTTTTAATTGCTGCAGCATCACCAGACACCCGAGTCATGGTGCCCCTCAGAGCCTCTGCTCCCAGCCTGCCTCCTGCAGCTACTGAGCTATTGGGAGCAGTGAATTCCCTCCCAGGGACCCCCACATGCCCTGGCTTTCTCTCCAGAGAGGATCCAGGGGCAGTTTGGCTGCTCTGAGCTCCCAGGGGAGCTGTCTGTGCCCTGCTTCTGCCTGCTGGTCTGTCTGTCCTGCCGCATCCACTCTCTCCTGCTGGTGTCTGCACTGCTGTGCTGCACTGAGCCTGTTTGGCTGCCTCCTCGTCCCTCTTGCTGTCTGTCTCCCTGACTGACATCTGCCACTGCAAACACTGCCTGCCCCCCTCTCCATTAGGTTTTCTCCTCCCCACCCCTTTCCTCTGGCTGCTATCCAGAGGCCTCTGCATTAGGTGTGATTTAGGTGCTTTTCTCTGGTTTAGGGACAGCAGCCAGGCTGCAATCTGCAGCAAAAGGGAAAACCTCTGCAAGGAGCCTCCTGCAAATAGCTAGGCAGGACAGTGGTTGCCAGCACTGCCCAGATACTGCACACTCACGCCAGCCTCTACATCCAGAGGCTGAAAGGGAGCCCAAATCTCTCACAGTGGGACTTGGGCCCCTGCATGCCTCTAGAAGCCATTCCTTGGAGCTTGAATTCCCTGGCTCACTGTGCAGTAGCTGCGGTGGAGGGTGGGGATGTGGAGGAGACACAGCTTGTGGAGATGTGAGGATAAATGTGAAAAGGACCCATGTGTGTGTGTGTGTGTGTGTGTGGTTGCATGTGCTGCCCCACATCACAGCTGTGTTTGGATGTAGACCTTGTGCTTGCAATTCTTCCCCCCTGACAACACTGCAGCATGCCTCGTGTCTGTCTCTTTGCCTTGCATCCATCTGCTCCCAGTCTCGGTATCTTTCCCTGTTGTTTTGCCTCTCCTCCCATCCATAGCCAGCCCTGCCAGCCTGAGCCAGCAGTGTGGTGTGTCATGCTGCCCCAGTGCCTTCAATGCCCCACTGCCACAAGGGTCAGCCCTCTGCTCTCCTCATGGCAGCACATTGGGACCCTGCTGAACACTCCCAGGCACCACAGGCCCCCTGGCCAGCTTGGAGGGCTGTCCCTGTTTGGGCCAGCACACCTGCAGCCCATGTAGTGAGCAAGCAGCCAGAGCCAAGCTTCTGTAGAATTAGCAAAAGCCCCTGCACAGCCAGCTTGCAAAACCTCAGTACCCGAGTGTCACCTGAGATCAGGTTCTGCTGGAGGAGAAAATGACTTTTATATCAACTTTCCCAGTGTCAGCCCTTTTAGCAGGGCCCAGCCAGGGCTGTGGCAGGAGGTGAGAGCAGGGCAGACCATCCTGTGTCTCTGTGCCTTCCTGGGATACCTCTGGACCCAAACTCACAGGGAAAACAGCTCCCTGCTGCTGCCTTCCTCTGCTCTCCTGACCTTGCCAAAGAGCAGGGAAGAGGTCTTGTCACACGCTGCTTTCTGGGTCCAAAGCCATTTTGCCTGGGCAGAAGCAGCTCTGCTTATCCCCTTCCCAAACATGCTGATGGGAGCCTGTGGGGAGCAAAACCTTGCTGTGTCCTCATTGTCACCAGACCTGGGCCGAAAACTGAAGGTCTGTGTCCAGTGCCATCACAGACAGAGGCTGTAGATGTGACACTTGGGGCCATGGCTTAGCAGTGGATTTGGCAGTGTTGGGTCAGCAGTTGGACTCGATGGTGTTAAAGATCCTTCCCAAATTAAAGGATTGTGTGATTCTTTGATTCAGCATTGTGAATCATTGATTCACAATCATTTCCCACATGGAGGAGACCAGTGGTGACCTGGTGCAGAGCAGCCTCTTGGAGCACCTGAGCTGCACTCATTTGGTGGCAGAGGATGGTACCTGCCCCCTCCTCAGCAAAGCCCACACCAAGCTCCTTTTCCCCTTCCCTACCACCCTCCTTTCTCAGCAAAACACCTCCCACGCTGCCGCGGAAGTTGCGGGTTGGCAGCTCTTCCGCAAAATGATGTTCCCATGGCGATGGGGATGTGCCGCCCTTCCTGAGGAGCACAAGGGGGGCGAACCGCACCTTCCGCATCAGTGCGCGCCCCTCGTCCGGGGCGGGGGCGTCCGAGTCCCGCAGAGGCAGGGCCCCCCCCGCACCGCCCCCCGCCGCAGGGCCGGGGGCCGAGCCTCAGTGACGCCTCCTGGTCCCCATTCGCTGGGTCCGCCCGCCCAGCCCTGCCCAGATTGCGGGAGCGCCGCGCCCACAGCCCGCCGGGCAGCCCCGGACAGCGCCGGCAGCCCCGCAGGCAGCGGGCAGCACCGGACAGCGCCCGCAGGTAGGCACCGAGCGCCGCGCACGCTGCCGGGCCGGGAGCAGCCGCCGGGCTCGGGGCACGGCGCGGGGCTGCGGGCGGGGGGGGGTCCGCAGCCGCCGGGCGCGGCGGTGGCACCGGGGGCATCTCGCCCCTCGCCCGGGGGATGCTCGGCCGGACGGAGCGCGCCGGAGGAGGGGACGGGCTCAGCTTCTCGCCACCCCCCCGGTGCCGGTGCCCCCCAGCCTCGGCTCGGGACTGCGGCATTCCCGGTGGGCGCGCCCGCGCACGCCCGCACCGCAGCCGCGCTCCCGCTCCGCGCTGCTGCAGGGGGGGAGCTCGCCCACCCCGAGCCCTCCTGCCCCTCTCGGGGGTCTCCCGATCGCTTTTCCCTGCGCACCGCGTCCCCGTGCACCCCCTTTGCTGGCAGCCACCCCCCGGCACAGCCAGGCTCCTGCCAGCCCCCCAGCCTGGCTCTGCACGCCCCCGTCCCCATCCCCGCAGCTCGTTTGTCACCCTAAGCCTGTGACGCCGGTGGGTAAAGGGGGTAGGTACCGCCATGGTGTGACCCCGAGGGGGTTGGGATTTGCCCTCTGAGAGCTGGAGCCCCTCGAATGCTGCTGTCCCCCTGAGCCCTGTCCCTACGCAAACCCCTGGGACCCTGCAGGAGTTACCTGGATTGCTCTGCTCCTAGCACTGCTGGCAGGAGAAGAGGGGTCCAAGGGCTATCAACCCAGAGCCTAGAAAATCTGAGTGTCTGGGCACGTAGATGGGAGGAAAACCTGCTCTCTGGGAGCTTCTTTGCATGGATTTTCGGGAGGAAAGACAGGCTATGACCTAGATAGTGTCCCAGGACATTCAAAAGGGAGCAGGTTGGTGCTGGGAAATGACAAAGCAAGGGACAGAGGGACAGTTTCTAGGAATGCAGAGGTTCAAGCATTTACCCCATTGGCAACCTCTCGGTTGTCAAGATCAGAGAGAAGAGAATTTTTCTTCCTGGCCAAGCATAAGGGTTCTGGATAAAGAGATTTTTTAGAGCTTCAGGGTGAGCAAATGGGTTTGGTATTTCCTCTTAGAACGTTATATGAAAAACACAAAAATTGCGAAATAGAAAAATGCAGCTGGCTGTGGTACAGGCGATTCCTAGCCCTTCCCTGGCTGCTTTGCCAGGCTCAGAGGGAGCAAACTGAGGGTCTGTTGTCCCCTCTGCCAGCCTGGGGTCACGAAGGGCTGGTTAACCAGCTCCCCCTCTTGGACCTGGCCCTCCATGGCCAGCCTGGAGGGCTGACTGCAGGACGCTCGGTGCGTCCTTCAGCCCGGCTGCCTCGCTGCTCCCCCGCGCTGTCCCTCCATTCCGCATGTCTGCGGCTGGATTCCCCACGCGGCCGCTTGGCCAGGCTGCAAACCTTTAATTGATTCCTTGTGGCTGCATTGGGCCAACTGGAATCAGCAGCCCTGCTGTTTGGATGGCTCATCACGGGCCCCTTACCCACACACACAGCCTGGAGAAAGACAGGCACTGGGCAGGGACCCAGACAGTGGATGGTGCCACCCAAACCCCTTCCACCCCGTGGCCAAGCAGGCTCAGTTCAGCTCCTGGAGGCTTCATGCCATCCTTCAGTGGTCTTGGCTCGCTGTCCAGCTGCTGTGTCCCTCTTCCTCACTGCTCTTGGCCCCTTTCCCTCACTGCATCGCAATGACTCATCCTTGCTGAGCTCACCCGCTGGAGCTGCTGGAGGACTGGCAGGGCAGGCGGCCACTGGCCCCCAAAGAGGGTCCCTCAGCTGGCAGCCCCCCCTCACCGTGAGCCACAGACCCCTGGTCAAGGTGTGCAGGCACTGGGGTACAGCCTGGTTTCACCTGTCCAAACCTTGGCTGGCCATGGGGCAGGAGGGGGAGGAGGCTGGACATGCAGGCCTTGCTGCAGGTCTGGCCATGCTCATTTAATGTCTTCTGGGGGGATCTGGACAGGGAAAACAACGTGTGGATGGGGCATTGCCTGGGGATGTGCAGAGGTGATGCTGGGCAGACACACAGTGCCTGATTCCCCAGCTGGGTGCAGCACCAGCTCTGTGCAGTGAATCAGGCACTGGTGCGGAGGAGCAGACGCTCGAGCATCGTCTGTGCAAGAAGGGAAGCTTGCACCATCGAGTGCCCACGCCCATGGGGCAGTGGCCTGGCTAACTGCCTCTCTCTCCCTCTGCCCAGGTTCCCCTCCCAGAGACAGCCCCCACCGGGCACCTCAGCAGCAAGATGAACCCCACCGTGGGCATCGCCGTCATCCTGACAGGTACATCCCTCCCTGCTCCCTGCTCGGCCCAGAGCAGCCTGGAGGCTGCATGGGCCTCCCCAGAGCTCGCTGTTCCCTGCCCAACCCCCTCCTGCCTCTCCCAGTCCTCCAGGCCGCCCACTGCCAGATGATCAAGGACCTGAGTGCCTGCCTGCTGGGCCAGAACCTGCGCGTGGACTGTCGCTATGAGAACAAAACCGACAACCCCCTGACCTACGAGTTCAGCATCACCAAGGACAACAGGAAGCACGTCATCCACAGCACCATCAGCGTCTCCGAGAACATCTACCGGAGCCGAGCCAACGTCACCATGCACAAGAACCTGGTGTGCCTCCACCTGCAGAGCTTCACCACCAGTGATGAGGGCATCTACATGTGCGAGCTGAAGGCCACCAACGACTACACTGGCAATCAGATAAAGAACATCACTGTTATCAAAGGTGAGACAGGCAGTGGCACCTGGCCTCAGCCCTTCCCACCTGCTCATTGGCTTGGCAGGGCCAGCAGAGAGCAACACAACTCCCTGAGCTCCATAAATGTGTCCTGACCCTTACCTGCTCTTCAGGTGGGACTCACTCTACCCCATCTCACAGCGCTTTTCCTGCCTCTCTTGGGTCCCACCTCGGGCACATTGCCTAGGTATCCTCCCATAGAGAGGACAGTGGGGATCCTTCACACCTGCAGCACACAGGAGCAGTCCTCCAGATGCAGACCTTTGCCTCACCTGGTGCCCATCCACTTGTCACCTCAGTCAGGCACAGGCAGGGTTATGCTTCTCAGAGTCCCAAAAATATTTGCTGCTACACGTTGGGAGGGAAACAGGCCAGGATGGGGCGTGCTGCGTTTCTGTGACAGAGCAAAGGCAAGAAGCTGTGTTCCAGTACCATTGGAACTCCCAGCCTGAGCCCCATTCCCGAGGGATTTCATTGCCTCTCTTCTCTCCCTCCCCATTCCTTCTCCTCACAGACAAACTGGAGAAATGCGCCGGCTTCAGCCTCTTGATCCAGAACACCTCGTGGCTCCTGCTGCTGCTCCTTTCCCTGCCTCTCCTGCAAGCCGTGGACTTCGTGTCCCTGTGAAAGGCGAAGCACACACACTCACAGCGCTCGCACACACACGCACGCACACACCGAGCACCCCAGCCACCCCGCCTTCCTCGCAGCCCCTGGAAAGAGAAGCTGAAGCGTCTGGAAGCCGTGAAACCTCTCTGTGTTATCTCTATTTAGCCGTATATTAACGCTAACCACCGTCCCGTGCCGAGGCTCACCATCCCACGCACTCGCGCCCCGCTCCGAAGCATGGTGGCTCTGCTAGGCAGCGTTGCTTCTCCCATCGCGCCTCCCCGCTCCGTAGGCTGGCTGGTTTGCTTGTGCTGGGAGCACTGGAGGCCTCAGCCTCGCTTGTCCCATCCCTTTAACTCTTGGGGTTTGCCTGTTCTCAACCGGGGAAAGACAGCTGGATTGGCAGGTAAGAGAGAGGGGTGACGTGAGAGCATGCAGAGGGTGCCCGTGGTGGGTGCTGTGCCCGTGGTGGGTGCTGTGCCCGTGGCCCCTGCAGGTGACAGGGCTCCTGGTGTCCCCACCCACCCTGCCTGCCACTCAGGTGACTGATTCCTCACCCTGCTCCTCTCAGCCTGAGCTGCCACGGCTGAGAGAGGGCACAAAATTACTCCTGTCTCAGTGAGCAGGAGAGCCATGGGATGCTGCTGAGCCTGGCAGGCTGGGAGGAGAGAGGGGAGCAGGTCTAGGAGACACCATGAACCCCCCCTTCCTCCTGAGGGCTCCTCTGGGGCCCTGGGAATGGGCTCAGTGCAAAAGTGCTTCGGCAACAAGTTTTTCCTAATCTGTTTCTTACAGCTGAGCTGGAAGTGAGGCCTCCTCCAGACACCATCTGGTACCTTTGGGCTGCCCGAGCCAGACACCACTCGCTCTCCCCGGGGACCAGCCCTTAGCTGTGACGAGAGAATTGCTGCCAGCACCAGTGGAGGCAAGCAGAGCCTCTCTGAGCTAGCCACAGCCCCACTGCCCTCCCCAGGGCCCTCAGAGCTGCACCCAGGATGGCTGGTGGGGAGGGGGTTCCCCTCTGGGAGTGTGACCCCAGGGTCTCCATAGGGACTTCCCTGCACTGGCACCTTGTCTTCCCTAAGGGAACGTGTGGGGACCCCAGTCCTTCCTCATGGAGAGGCAGAGCAGTCTTCCTCCAATCCCACCGTGCTCCTGGGAGGAGCCTGTGTGCCCCCTCCCTTCTCTCTCCTCCCTTTCAGCATTTCCCTGTCTCCCCTTAAGAGCAGCAAAGGACCGAAGGGCAGCCCACAACCTCGGTAAGGCCAGGATGGTGCCAGGGGTTGGCGAGAGCGGGGACAGGGATGGCCAGCACAGCTCAGATCTGCCAGCCCAGGGCTGCCCAGATGCCCACGGGACCCCGAGGAGCCTCACCCAGGGGAGGGCACAGGGAAAGGAAGAGGCAGGCAGGAGCATCCAGGTGCATGGGGTGAACCCCAGCTGTGCCACCCGTGCAGCCCGGGCTGTGCCACCACGGCTGAGAGCAATACACAGCAGCTGCTCCCCACTCCTTGCTCCTCTCCAGAGCTGCTTCCGACCCCCGTGCCCGTCCCCTGCCCATCCCTGCCTGCTTGCTTGCTGTCTAGTGCTGCTGAGGCCGTGCCCAGCTGAGGCCTGGCTGTGCCCAGCTCCCTGGGCGTGCTGGTGAGCGCCGGGGCAGGCGCAGAGCCCAGCGGCAGAGCGCGGACGCGGCTCGAGTCTCATTTTTTTGTGAACATTTGTAGTTGTTTCCACAGCTTGTCATCAAAGAAATTCTGTTAAGGGAAAAGGAAAAAAAACGGAAAAAAAGAACCCTATGAAAAGCAACAACAACAACAACAAAAAACAACACCTTACCATCCAGGAGTGTTCCTCTGTCTGCACAATAAAACCCTACCTAGGTTGTGTGTTGGAGCCACGGGCGCCCGTGTGTGTGGCAGTGGGGACAGGGGCTGTGTGGGGCAGGGTACCAGGAGCCTGCCAAGGGGTGCAGCCCCCCAGGCAACCCTCCTGTGCCTCCAGCACCCCAGTGTCTGTGGGAGAGAAGCAGGCAGAGGGGCAAGACTCGACTTTCCTGGGCAGGGCAACGCCCTCCTGCTCACCTGGAGCGTGGCCCCCTGCCCCCAGACCCTTTGTCCCCATCCCTGTCCCTAAACCCCCAGTCCGTCCCAGAGGCCACCAACTGCCCACGGTGGTGGCAGGGAGGCAAGGCAGGAGACCAGGTGTGGTGCTGGCCCATCCATCCTCTGGGGAGAGAATTGCCAGGGATGGAAGTGGCCATGGGAGGGGGCCCGGGTGTGCACGCGTCCCAAAGCTCCTGTGCCCATCACACCGGGGTCCTACTGGAGCCCCCATGCCCACACTCTGCCCGGGGGGCTGCCAAGGGCTCCCGTGTCCTCTGGAGCAGCCACACACTGCCCTGCCCAGGGTCAAGATGCCACCTTGGCACCAGGAGTCACGAGCAGAGCCTGCCACCACCCCCTAACACCATTGGTGACCCTGCGCCACCTCCCAGAGCAACGCCCCGACGCGTCCCTCCCTGTTTAAGGGCTGGAGCCAGACTGGAGGGAGGGAGGGAGGGAGGGAGGAAGATGCCACCCTAATTACATCCCTCCCATTATCCCCGGCAGGTGCTCGCTGAGTCACGGCCACGCAGATGCCGTAGGCTGGGCGGGTCAGGCGTCCCGGAGCGGTGCCCCAGTGTCCCCATGGATCCACGAGGGGTGGCCACGCCATGCCAGCTGGCCCCTGCCCACCTCTGCTGAAGGTTTAGGGGGCTCTTCTCCCTACAGTTCACCCCAAGGGGGGCAAAACGCAGTCCAGCTCCTCCCCTCACCCTGATGCTCTACTCCAGACCTTGCTGGCAGCCACGACCACCCCTTTTTTGTGCCTCCCCGCTCCCCACGCACCAGGTCGCGTCCCACCCGCCGGCTCCCTCCCTTAACCCTCCCTCTATCCTTTCCCTCCTGAACCTCGACGTCCCTCCCCAAACCTGTCCCTTCCTCACGCTTACCCTCAGTGCTCCTTCTCCATTGGCACAGCCCCCGCAGTCTCCCCTCGCGGCCCCCCCTTGCCGTGGGCCACCAGCCCCCCCGGGTTCGCGTCCCCTTTAAGCCTCCCCAAGCTGGAATGCGAGAGGAGCATTTCAGCGCCCTGTGAGGTCAGATAAAGACACTATATTTATCTGGCTGGTAACCTGAGCCCTGAATTTCTGCGGTGGTGTTTTTACGCGGCCCCACAGCCCTCGGGCTCGGCCCCCTCCGGCCACTGCGCTCCCTCCCAGGGTGGAGGGGCTGAGCCGGGGGTGTCCTGTCCCCTGCGAAGGGCTCGGCTGCTGCCCGTCTCCACATCGCCCATCTCCGGTGCCGGGGGAAGCTCCCCGAGGAGGCAGGACCAGCCCCGAGGGCATCACCACATGCCTGGCTGCTCGCCCCTCGCCGTGCCCTGAGCAGCCATCGGCCACCCGCGCCACATGCAGGTGAGTGCAGGTGGGGACACCGCCCGGGGCAGGGGGACACGGAGACAGACAAAACTGTCCCCCTCTTCCTTCAGCTGGAGAACACCACGGGGGAGAGGTGGTTCCGAGTTCACACACAAAATCCTGGCTTTGAGCCCTCTCTGGCACCCTCCTCATCCCCTGGTGTGGGCAGAGCACCTGCCCGAGGGTCCCTTCTTTTTTTTTGCCACCCACAGACCTCAAAGCAGTAACTCGTGCCCTGGCTCTTACGTCAGGGTCCCCGGTGGGTTTGGGTTTTGCTGTCTGGGGGTGGCCCGGGAGCAGCAGGCTCTGCAGCAGGGTGGGGATGTGTCAGCAGCACAGAGCGGGGCCAGGACGGTGACTCCTGGGCATGTGGGGGGAACCTGGGGGGTTCTCAGGCCCAGGGCTGGCAGGGGAAGGGCCCTGGCCAGGCTGGCCCCAGCTGGGTGAGTCACCTTGGGCAGGGCCTGTCACTTTGGGGGGTGGCAGTGGTGGGGGGCAACGCAGGAGCTGGGCTGTGACAGAGGCACTGCAGTCCCCATCTGTCAACAAGGGTCACTCCAGCCCCTTCCAGGGAGCAAACATTTTGTGGCACATTCCCCCCAGGGCTGCTTGGGGTCACCCTTCCTAGAGGGAAATGGACACCAGGAGGATTCTGTGCCTTGTTTCCCCTGGGGAATGGGCAGGAGGCTGTCCCACCCCACTGGCACACGCAGCTGGACACAGAGCCCCTCAACCCCAAAGCACTTGTACCCTGAAGAGTGCAAAGTGTCCACACAGGGTCCCTTCTCTGCCTCCACTGAGTCCTGGGAGCTCCCACGTAACCTCCAGGCTGGGACATTTTGTCTCTGGGGACAGGGGACACAGCTCCGAGCCTGCGTAAGCGAGAAGCAGCTGTGCTGTGACTCCTTGGATGGAGCCAGCGCTGTGTAAGCTGAGCTGAGCCCGCTCTGGGGCTCCGTGGCCACCGAGGGGGACAGCTGGCACCAGGCACGGGCAGGACAGAGGGGACACCTGCCACTGGGCACGGGCAGGACAGCAGCCGGGGACAGAGCAGGGCTCTGCTTCTCTGCCTTCAGCGTGAAGGTTTTGCCTCCTCACTTTGAGCAGAGATTCCCAGGGAAGGCCAGGGCAGGACTCCCCAGTGCCCAGAGCAGCCCCCTGGTGTCTCTCTCCCATGGGGTGGCACCGCTCCTGCCCGGCCCCGTGAGCGCAGACCGGACATTCCTGTGCCTCAGCTTCTCCTGACACCCCGGGAGGATGATGAGGGTGCAGGAGGCCTGACTCAGCCGTGCCGGCTCCAGGGCTTTACCAGGCAGCAGGAAAGCTCAGCACAATGACGGGTAGGGAGGGGCCAGGCAGCCCAGGAAGCGCTGGGAGGAACCGGGGTTTTCTCACACCCCCTCGGCTCCTCTGGCTCCTGGCACGCTCCGCTCTCCCGCCGCCCTGGGGTCTGCTCGGATGTGACATGGGGACTTGGAAGCACAGGCAAGCCTGGCTGATGTGACATTCCTCCATGGTAAGGCCTCTCTTCCCAAGGAATGGGATAGCTCCCGTGTCTGGGGCCGGTGCTGGCTCCTGACTCTGCACCCCTCCATCGGCTGCTCCGCATCCCCAGGGCAGGTGCTGCCCTGTGGAGACCTGTCCTGCTGCCAGGAGCTCCTGCTGCCCTCCTCCTCCCAAACTGGTGCTCTCCTGATGCTGCTGGTGCCAGGAGAGAGCGTGGGCACCTGGCAGGGGATGATGGCGTGGGGCTGTCCTGGCACTGTCCCAAACCAAGATCATCTCTGCTGGCGAGGAGGATGGAGAGCAGGGGCAGTCGCTGTGCCAGGCTGCTCCGTGCCCCAGCAGGGCAGGCAGCCAGGCATGTGCTGCTCCCTGGGAGCCCAGGGGCTCCGTCATTCCCATGCTGGCACTCGAGTGCCAGTCTCTTGGCTGGGGTCCCACTCCCTGTGAGCGAAATTCCCCGCTGTCCATGGCAAATCCCGACTGGCAGAGCCCCGCTCCTGGTGAGGGCGGCCGCAGCCAGGCTGGGAAGAGCCGAGCCGGGTGTTTCGCGGCACCCTTGCCCGGGAGCAGATTATTCACCCTTCAGCCTCCGTCCCCAAACAGGTCTGTGCGCTCCACCTCGCTGCTGCTTGTAAATATTTCCCTCTCCGGGGTGGGATGGCTGCTCCCTGGGCGGTAACAGCGCCCGGGACGCTGCCGGTCGGCGGCCAAGCCAGGAGCCCACGGGGGCTGGCTGCTGTCTCTCACCGCCCCCTGCCAGGAGCATTCCCGGGGTGTTTCCATGCTGAGCCTGCGGGGCTCCGAGCAGGAGGCTGTGTCCCCCAGGGCCAGGCTGGTAGTGACCCGCGGGGGCTCCTCGTGCCGCGGTCCAACGCCCGTCCCCAAGCCCGGGTGCACCCTCGGTGCTGAAGGGACGGGCCAGGCACAGACTCCGGCACCTCCCGGCTTGGAGCCGGGCCAGAGCCCGCCCCAGCTGGGCTGGGAAAAGCCTTTGAATCAGGGTCATCTCCCGGGTGACTGGAGACTCTCGGAGCCACATGAGCCACTGTTCTGCCAGGGAAGGGACACCAGTCACCCCGGGAGCTGAGCACCAGCAGCGCCAGGGCAGAGGAGCTCGGCTGGGTCCTGCCTGCCCCAGTGCCACCCACGGCCCCAGCACAGGTAGGGATCCAGCCATCAGCCTGCCAGCTGGGGCACTGAGGGGAAACTCTCCTCCAGCTCCTGACATCCCCTGTTTGGGGACTGCCACACTGCCCTGCCCCTGCTCCGGCTTGGCTCTGTGTGTGCTCTTGGGGCCTCTGTCCCTGTCTCTGTGTGCTCCTCTCCTGCCCTGTGCAGGAGCCACCAGCTCTCTGTGGGCACCGAGTGCTGGCTCTGCCCGGCTGGCAGGGGCACGGCTGCCACCTCACCAGGAGGACTCTCGG